TGACGAAGCTATCGGTAGATACCAAGTTCTTCTATTCAGCTTGTCTGTTCATCTCGAATTTGGAGTAAGCATGTATATTGGAACGTTACAACCGCCGGGTCTATACTGTACATAGAGTACACAAATACAAGAGGTGATATCTCGCATTATGACTTTCCGCTACTTCACTTTTGCTGTCCTCGCTAGCCGCTGCTGTATTTACCTCAAGCCATGCCAAACAAAAGAAATAATTCCCGCGCTCATTTCTCATCCGTGATGCCGAGAACGGCGTTTAGGTCAGCGTTCGGGTCCTTGGGGTCTGCATTCGCTGTGGAGATTGTTAGCACTGCTCTTGAAATCCACCGTTCTCTTCAAACTTTCCGCCCTAGAGGGCCGAAAGTTGTAGGAGAGGCCAGTAAATGGGAGACGGCGGCAACGTACCACCGCCAGATGACTGCTTCGGCTGTTCTGATGAATGTGTCTTTGCCCACTCAGCCTTCGCCTGCTGAATCAGTGACTCCTTCTGCTGGTATTCGTGCTGCTTCGCCTGCAATCGCTCGCGCGACGATATCGAGACCTGGTTGTAGATGCCGTAGAAGACGCCGGTGGCCAGGGCGGACCATCGGAGGACCTGCGCTCATCGCATTAGCAGCCATCCTCACGTTGACAGAGCTTATCGAAGCTCTTTCATGCCTCGTAGGGCACATTGAGAGCCCTATTGGGCCTTTAGACGTACGTTAACCCCCACGGAAGTAGACATCGTGACCGTCGCTGCTGGGACGCTCGGGAAGGCAGGTGCGCGTCGAGCGTGTCCAATGGCAGAGAACTTAAATGAGCGACGGGCTTCGATGGCGTCTCGTCGTTCGGGAGAGGAGCGGGCGCTTGGCTGGCGGAGAGGATGGTGTGCAGCTGTGGAGTGAGGTTCTTCGCCCGAAATCTTGCGCGAGGCAAGCACGGGTCCCGCCGAGGAAGGTCCGACCGTCCCTACTTGGCGCGTTTTTGGGAGCACCCAAGCTCGACACATGTTTACCCTCACTCAGAGCATTGCTTTAGAGCTTCAAATAGAAGAGCGAAGCCCTGACTTCTCTCGAGATATCTAGTTTCATCATTTCGCACCAGCAGACTGCGCTCGGGCGGACTCAGGCCCACACCCTCCACCATGGACTCCACCATAGCGCAACGTCGCGAAGAGATACTCGCAAAGAAGGCCAAGCTTGCAGAGCTAAAGAAACAGCGTGAGATACGAAAAGCAGAGCATGCGCAGAGGCAGTCGCTGAGCGGATCGCCTGCGAAAGAAGTACGAAACCAAGTTCACTCTTTTGACAGCAATCAATTAATCACTCGAACAACAGATATTGCAACCTACACCACGACGGACGGACGAGCAGAAGCGCGAAATAGAGGCATACATTAGTGGTATATTAGGTGATAGTCGGCCCAGTTCAGTACAGCCAGGATCCCCCGCTGGTGGACGAGCGACACGACCGACCTCCGTTATCAGTGCAAGCCAATTAAGCAGCGACAATGAAGCGCAGGCTGGAGCACAGTATCAGGTGCCCGTGAGCATGGTTGATCATGGCATGCAGACATTGTCTATTGGATCGCTGGCCACGGTCTTCGAGTACAACGGCGAGGATGTGGGACCACCGCCAAAGAGGGAGAAAGAAGTCATCACATACAGCAAAGGTGTACAGGCGGACATAGAGTGGAGTCCAGAGAGGCGACGAGGATCGGGAGGCAGTGATTCAGAGCGAGACGACAGCCCGACCCGGTCACCGCGCGCGAGCAAGCGATTGAGCCGCAGGCAAAAGGAGAGGGATGAAGAGATCCGTTTGCAATTGAAGAAGGAGATTGAAGATGAAATCAGGGCGGCACAGAAGGCAGCAGAGGCCGGAGAAGTGCAGACGGCCTCGGGCGAGAATTATCCCTTCAAGACCCTCTCGAATGAGGAGTTAACGGCTGTGGAGAACTCAGACGACTTTATCGATTTCGTGGAGAGGAGCACAAAAGTCCTGGAGCGCGCGCTGGATCAACAGCTGGACTATGATATTTTAGCCGACTATGCGCTAGGAGGTGCGAATGTAGACGAAGAGGATGAGGGATACGGATCGAGTGGAGGGAAGAAAGGTCGACGGATAAAAGAGATTGCCCAGTTCTGGGATGAGAGGTGGAGCAAGAAAAGGATGGTCTCAGATCTGGGCTTCTCTACAAAGGTACGGGGAAAGTCTTCTAGGATCATGTTGGCCATGCTAACAGATTGCAGTTCCCAGAGCTTGTCCTCGCCTCCTACACTAAAAATCCATCCGCTCCGCATGATCCGGATGGCCTCATTCAAGTATGGAATCTACACATGCATGATCGGCCAGAGTACATATTCCATGCCCAATCCGATATCCTTACCGCCAAGTTTTCTCCTTTTCATCCCAACCTCATTATCGGTGGCGCATACTCAGGCCAAGTCTTGCTTTGGGACACTCGGGCAAAGTCATCGCCTGTGCAGAAAACACCGCTCACAGGATCCGGACACACGCATCCTGTCTACTCTATCGACATTGTGGGCACGCAAAATGCAAACAACATTATATCAGCCTCCACGGACGGCGTAGTATGCGGATGGACCGTAGACATGCTCTCACAACCACAGGAGTTTCTCGAGCTCACCTCACCACCACCCGCAAAGACAGACGATATGGCTGTCACTTGCATCGCCTTCCCGCAGTCCGATCCGACCTACTTCCTTGCCGGCACGGAAGAAGGCTCCATCTACCCCTGCCATCGCTACGACCGCGCCGGCGCCAAGGCGGGTGTCGATGGCCGCGTCAAGTACGCCGGTCACGCGGCACCAGTCATGAGTCTCGACTTCCACCCTGCGAAGGGCCAGATTGACCTCGGAGACCTTGTCCTCAGCTCAAGCGTGGACTGGAGTGTCAAGCTCTGGAAAGTGCGGCCTCCGGCTGCAACAGGTCCTTCGAATACGTTAGCTCCTGGAGCCGCGCAGCAAGTCACGCCCATCCTAGACATCGCGCGGGAAGACCTCGTCTACGACGCCCGCTGGTCGCCTGTCAAGCCCTCGGTTTTCGCCCTCGTAGACGGCGCTGGTAGTCTCGAGGTGTGGGACTTGAATGTTGATGTCGAGGTTCCTGTGCAGAAGATCACACCGAGCGAGAACAAGAGAGGCGCTTTGTCGGGTGGTATGGGATACATGAACAGGAGTTTAAACAAGTTGACATGGGAGAGGAATGAGGGGAGGAGAGTCGCAATGGCTGGTATGGATGGCGTTGTTACGGTCTTTGAAGTTGGTGGGGACTTGGGTGGTGTGGAGACGAGGGGAGAGGAGTGGAGCGGGGTCAAGAGGTTGGTGGGCAGGCTGGAGGGCGCGAGCGAGGGCGTGAATGGAAAGTGAGCACATATTTTTGAGGGCATGTCTCCTAACTCTATAGTAGCGCGGGGCTTATTGAATTCGGGGCAGAGGGGAAAGCTTTGGAGTGGGCTTCATGTAGTGAGCATTTCTCGGCGTTGCAGGCTTGTTTGACATACCCCATCACGCTTTGCTTTGCGACAATACGATTCTCTAATACTAGTCCGTTGATATAAACTTTTTCATCGCTAGAAGCACTGCTCTTGTATATCTTGAGCACACTGTATCGATTATCAATACGAACGTATATTCAATCCGACTTTCTCTTCCCTCGTAGCCGATGGTGGAACCTCTTCGCTTCGTCACCCTCATCGCTCACAAATCAGCCAACCAGGGCGAAGTATCTCGCGATTTATCAAATTTAGAACCAGTTTCTTCTCAGAAAGAAGATTGTTGTTTTTGTCCTCTGATAATAACCCTTTTGTTTTCTTAGCTACTACGGACATCTACTTTGTTGTCATTTTGTCACGCAGAAGTTTGTTTCAAGACACAGCTTACATTCGTGATATAGATTCGCGTGCATATATGGACGCTTATGATTCTTGTATTTGTCTCGTTGGAGGGAATCCTATAGCAAATCGCTGTCCGAATTGCTCAAGTCATGCGATCTGCTATTATAAGGCGGCTCCTGACTGGCACTTGGTCCATTTCTACGTTCGTGTCTAGTAGGCTGGTGGAGCCTGCGACTAGTGTCAGGTCATACACCATTCGCTTTTTCCCAAAGCTTGAAGGGTTCCAACTTGATGCTTTCCCACCTGAAGAGCTCAAGATGTGCTGCTTGAAAGGTATAATAGCCCACAGAGGTATGTTTTACGACTACCGACGCATAATGCTGCTCAATTTGAGGGATGTGCCTGGCCGGTTTCTACCAATAAGCGAGGACACCGGTAGTTGCTCCAGCGCATAGGTTCTCCCTGAAGACAGCTCCCTCCCAATTCAATTCTGTAGGCAGTGGCTCTGGAGGGGCTTCCATGGTATGCTGGCCTGCTCCCAGCGTCATATCAATACGCGTATGGGTTGCGAAGGGGTTGTGAATTACAAATTGAGACAAATAGTCGCACCGTCCTCACTATTCCCATTGGAAGACCTATGATCAGCTGATTTGATGCTATACACAGTACTAAAGTCGATCTTTAGTGAAGGAAGGCTGCTTAAGACTGCACAGGGCGGAAAAGTCCTGTGGCGCGTCCATACCATGTACGTCGCCCAAAGCTTCGGATAGGCGGAGTCTGCGAATCAGGGGTTGGCTCCACGGCCATCGCGGTGGATTCACGCGCAATGTCGACTATGAAAGAGTAAATCCTTTGCGTCTATATCAACTTCATGGTCAAGAGTAGGATGTGTTACCTCTGGCTCTAGTTTCCATAGTTGAACTGACAAAGCGCTAATCAGGGATCGCCCACTGGCTAAGGCCCACAGTTCACACCAATGATTTAACGAGTCATGTTGTCGTGACCCTGGCTCGCTTAGGACCCTGGTCTGTCTTGTGGAGGCTCGCTTATCTTTGAATACGCAGAAAATTGTCTGGCATCTAACTACCGCCACACATGTAGATTATAGATATATATTTTTGAAGCGCAATATCTCACATCTCTCAGAGAACGGTCTTATGGTGTAAGTCTATGATTGGCAACGTGGTCAAGATACTTTACTAATTCTTCTTCAGCTAGTGGTATGATTCTCGCTTAGGGAGCAATCCTGAGCATATTTGCGAGAGGCCCCGCGTTCGAATCGCGGTAAGACCCCATCTAAACCCTTTGGGGTTTCTTTTTAGTGTCCTGCACTACAGGGTACCATCTTTTTGCTTCTCAACATTGTTCAGACCTTTATTACAGCTTTCATCAATACATGTTTTAGTCTTGTATACATTAAGAATACTCATGTTGGAGATGTAATTTTTGAGATGAGTGCCTGGAGCTCAGTGCGTGTGCACAGCTTTGTTTTCCGATAGCTCGTACGATCATCAATAGAGATCACAGAGTTACACAAAACATGGATTAGTTAGTCTACTTGTCTTATTCTAGTAGCCTTACAAAATCGCGTGGTCCTTTCTGAGCCGTGATTAGCCGGGGTGAATGAATAGTAAGTATATGCTTGTTTCTTGCCGATAGTTTTTCGCGTTAACGACATACCGTCAAATCGAATCTAGGGGCTTTTTGCAGTAGAAAACAATAGTTGCTAGATGCGATATTTGCTAAACTAATCTAGATGTTCTGCCTCACTTACACTATCCTTTTTAGCCAGATTTCAACTCAAATGTAAGCCTTTCTTGCTCGTCCTCGTACGCGATTATCCCATCCATAAATGGTGGGAATTCCATCACCAGCGCCTGACAAAGGGTTTGAAATAACGCCTCCCTGGAAATCGTGATAAGTAGGAGCTTTGACAGTGGACTTTCGTTACGCCTCGATTCGTGTATCCAGGGCCAAACTCAATCTCCATTCGATATTCGTCTTGGTGGTGTAGAGTAGTAATTGTCACCGTCATAGCTTCTTGGGTTTACTATATTCCGTAATTACAGAGTGGGACTGCACACATTCTCATTCCCAAGCGGTGCACTACATATGGCAGCGATTGAAAGGGCCGAGTGCTGATTGAAATGAATGACCTTAGCGCAAGAAGGGGTCGTGATCAAACCATTCCAGCTGTTTTGTGGGAAAATCCACGTCAGGGGAGAGCATAAACTGGACGATATCACAATAAGGAAGAAATACATAATAGCTACAATACTTAGTCAAAAGGTTAAAGACTTGATATAGGTTGTTTCACCCCATGATACACGATATGAAGGGGTCCACCTTAAAGTTTCAACGTGGTACTGTATATCGAAGATGAAAGTAAGACGAGCGATGCCTCAATCGTTGGATTTAATCACGTCAGGAGAAGAAGTGAAAGAGTTCAGTCTCAAGCACCCATTTGTCAGGTCACTATTTAGATACTGACCTAACACTTTCCCTCTATTTGACAGCGACGTTACCAGGCAAAACGGTTAGCCCTATTCGCATATCGTCAGCACACGAAATACCATTATCACAAGGAGCCAAAGCACTTACAGCTATCGTAGTCCTCACCCACCATATCCTTGACCGTACACTTATTCTGCTGTGCGATGCTCTGCGTCTTCAATGTCGGAGCAGACACATACGTGTGTCCATCCAAATGCTTCTGCAAGCTATCGTCCTTCCAGCCAAATAGGTAATCTGCATGCGAGGAGTATCCAGTGCTGTCTCCACTGCTCCATACAAACGGCTGGCTACCATCTGCGGGCCAGTCCGCCTTGTTGTTGAACGCCTTGGTGTCCCAGACCGTCTCAAGGAGAATCTGTGGGAGACGCACTGGATGCGTCTTAGGGCACGGCCCTCCAGATTCGAAAGTGCCTGACTCGGGATACGCGACGTGATCTTGATGGTTCGGGCTGTCGACGTTGACGCCGTCCCAGCATGTGGGAAATCTGTGGTTCGCCATGATGACAGCGGGGCAGGGTTGCGTGGGGAAGTTGATCGTCTCCGGCTCGCGCGTGCCCTCGTTCTGCATGCAAATGTAGGTAAGTTGACGGAAGTTGCGGGCTTCTTCGCGGTTATTGTAGTTGACATTTCCTACGAGCATGCGGAAACCGGGCTTGAAGGCTGTGACCTTAGATTTTTGCGCAGTGTCGAAAAGTGCGTCGGACATGTAGTAGACCATCATGCCGCCTTGTGTGCTCTCTATGCCTTGCTGGGGTCGTTGCGGAACGCGCTTGAAGGTACCATTCTTGCCTCTGAAATATAGGACTGCAGTCCAATAGTTTGAGCTGTGGTGTGATGGCATGAGTTAGCGCATGTCATAAAGATAGAATATCGAGTGTTGATCGCCGACGAAGAAGGTGATCACGCGGCCTCTTGAAACGTCTCTAAAATCGACTTACTACCCGCAAGTCAGTACAATATAGCTGGTCTTCTTTCAATACACTTACCAAGTCTTCCGAGAATTGGCAGCTAGTGCATGTCGAAAGCTTCACCAGATCATGTGTCGATGGGTCCATCGTAATGTTAAACGAGTTGCCTCCAATGATTTGATGTAAATGGGGGGAGGGACTTTGTCCAGGATTGACCAACGGATCGAGACGCTGAATGCTCGATTTTGCACAACCGAAACGGAGAAGTGCATTAACAGGCGCAAGCAGCCCGAGGGCGGTGATGAAGGCGCTCTTCATCGTGACAGCGCAGTAGTATAGATGCACTCTTCCAGTAAACAAATAAGTGGTAAAAAAAGCACGTTCGATGTACTCAGTAAAATCCGGCACTCCGCACTGAGGATTTGGTCACATAATTATTGTGCTGGGCAGTGACGATAAACATTCCCCAACACCAGTTGCCGTGGTGCTGACGCACTGATGGAGAAGTGTAGATTGATTTGCCTTCGCGATAAATTGCCCGCTCATATGCTTGCATGCGCCGAGCGGCAAACTGCTTTCGGGAGTTGGGGTTAATCTAGGTCGATATTAGCGAAGGGCCAATGTAACACATTGCCCCAAGAATCATGAGCTGCTTTGACCAATACAAGCTGATGCTGGATAGTTTCGTGTTACTCAACCGAGCTCATCGTTTTCACTTGTTCGTGTTCAGGGATGTACCATTAGTGCCTTTATGGGCGGACAGATGATCCCGACCCTCATTCCCCAGGAATTTTATGTCTCCAGATCACTGCCACGTTCTTGCATAGTGTGACATGCAGCTCCCGCATAACCTTGAATTCCTTATCAGACATCGTTGAGGTTGTTCCGAGAATACTTAGATAGTGCTCAACCAAGATCTCCTCTCGGCAGACAACTTTACATATTTTTTAAACCAACTCTTCACGGTGCATTTGGTGCAACACAACTTTGGACTATCGCAACGATGAAGGGTTCTTTCAGTCTACTTGCCATGTTTCTGTCGGCTACGCTTGCACAAACGTACCCTGAGTGTACCGCCGAACTAGTTCGAACAGACGAATGCGCTGGTGTCATCAACGCAAATGCCTGCTACAACAAGAACCGCTTCCAGAACGCACAGACTCTGCAGTGTATCGAGGGTGCCAATGACGCGGAGAAAAAGAAGAGGGTATGCGAATCCTCCAACTAAATTTCAATTGTGCTGACGACTATATGTAGGCATGCAAGTGTTGCAATTGCGTGGGCAAGGTCATGTGCGATTGGGTTACCAAACAGAAGTTCGCCTGCTAGAGAACAATAGTGCAATACTCCTTCAGATGGGAGGAGCGGAGGACTATTGAAGGAAGAAGCAGGATGGAAACGGATTGCTTGCAAGGGACGTGTAACCATGCAATGTACCAACGCCTGTCAGATTACTTAAGTAGATGGCGTGAATAGCAACGACCACACTCGCTATCTTAAAGCTAGTATCCTAATTGCTTCGTTTTCGCCCTCGGCTCTGCCGAATATACGAGCATGAGAGGGGTTTTGTGAAAGACGTCAAAAATAACGATCATGCGGGGAACGCTGGCGAGGCTACCCCTACTCGTTTCAAGCTTGTATAGTGATCCATATCAATGAACAAGTAGAGGATCTTTACTTAAGCAGTTATATCGACGCAAACTTCGTAGGTCCTGCAATCGCGAGATATGTTACGTCCAATATCGAACGGAAGGCACAGTAAGACTGCTGAATATATGGGAGCGGTGACAAAGTACCCATCGAGAATGTAGTGCCCCTTGAATGCTGCTCGAGAAATGCATTTATCAATAATTTGAAGGGTGACCGACCACTTAGATGCTTGGGCACCGCTCGGACCCTGATATGTTTGCTGTGGACTGCTCAGGTCATTCATGACTCAAAAAATTAGTGCTGAATTCCTACTATATATGTAGTACGAACCTGGCAATCTAGCTGTTCTGTGAACTGGCTCTTTTTGAGGTTGGTGAAATTGTGGAAGAGGCTGGCTAGCGTTTCCATTTGATTAGAGTGAGACAATGCTAGACCTAATACCACTGTCTGGAGAGGCGACAAGTAGGTTTGAACTCCGCACTTGGAACTCTTTTTCTTCAATAACAGTCTCTTTTGGTTCACCACTGTTTCTCCATCTCTGTAGTTTCCGGTTATGTCCAAAAAAAAAAACAGCATCAGGGTCTTCCAAAACCATCATACTTCGAAATTTCCTTGCGTAAAGACTCAGAAGGTGTAACCGGACCAAGGCTTGGGTTCGTTCAGAGCACATCTATATGTTTAATCCATGAGTCCTCCTACATGGCCCAAATATAGTCTCGAGATTGTGCTCATGAATATCATCTATAAGTATCTAAGAATTGGTAGATATGTAGCCTTTCTTCTCCCGGATATCTCTTAAGTCTGTAGTCATGACGGTAAGGTAATCTGACCCTCTAGAAATGGTAACCCAGTGAGAACAAATCTAGATATGACTTGATGAGATGAAGAGATCACCAAAGCCGCGGCCGAGAAGGGTAATGGTGTGGATTGCTCTGGCAAAATCGACCCAGCCCATTCCCTTAGAGTCCAACGTGGTGATACGTGGCCGCAAGGGATCCCTCGTCGGAAGCGATACCCACAAAGCCAAAGCCCTCCAGCTGCTATCATAAGCTGACCATAACCTTGTAACCAACACCATCCTGACAGCCGACTTGAGAATCATGAGTGACTATCTATTCCAAGACGTGGTATATATGATCTACTCGATCTTTAGGAAAGTAGTAGCTCAATTTCCTTCTTATGTGTACCAGAGGTAATACCCCGTAGACGTTGAAAGTCCCT